GATGTTGTGATCTTTCCTCTTAAACCTTCTACAAATAAGAAACAGTAACACTTATTTTTTTCTTTGAATTACCTACCATAACCAAAGCACATTATTGAGAAATTCTTCAAGATCTGTTTTGTTACCTTACGCCTTTTAATGAAGATGGGAACATTGACAGGGAAATAGATTTTAACGAAAAAGTTTCATAAAGAGCATGAACGGTAGTGTGATGTAAAATTACTCATGCTAGAAATATTCATGAAAGTGACCCAAAAAATGGCGCTGACTCGTAACCCTTTTCCTGATTTTAACAAAACTTGTTTTATTCTGTTTCTATTCTCATTTCTCATATTCTGTTCTCGTATTATGTGCCATTTTTGCTGTATTTAGTTACAGACAAGCAAACTAACAAACAATCTCAGAGTCTTAGTAGTATATAGATATATATATATATAGTTAAAAAGAAAGTGTTTTTACCACTTAAACTTATAACAAATTAAAATACTGTAACTTCCTGATTCTTGACATATCTTCAGAGTCAAATATACCTCAGTCAATTTGAAGAAATTGATAATTTCTAAAAATTCTGTGTTTTCTAGATTATATTTACAGCTGGATAACTTTTACCAGTTCCAGTAAACTTATGTAAAATTGTTTTAAATGAATCTTTTTTTTTTTCTTATAAACACATGTGCTATAAGTAGTGCTAACCAATTAAACTGAAAATATTAAATTAATCTAATATAATAATGAACAACTGTAATGGTAATATTTCAATTACTGGATAATTGGACTAATCAAAAACAGTAATACTCTGAAATAATAATTTCAATCAGTTAATTATTTTCAGGTCATTAATCAATTTAATCATTATTTCATTAATGGATAGCTGGAATTATTGAAAACTAATAATTGGAAATACAAATTTCAATTATTTGACCATTGTTGTCATATTGATCAATTTAATGGTAATTGCAATTAATTAGTAACTTTACATGATACCAATCAATGCCTAAAGGTAATTGAGTTAATTGCTATTAAGAGACATTTTCCAGATTTATTTTGCAGCATGCTAGACACTCCTATCAATGCTACTTGTGTTGTAAAACTGCTACTGCAATGTTGCTATTAATAAAACAAATTGGAGAAAATGATTTTGTCACTCAAGGACAAAAGATGATGAAAGGGACGTCTTTGATGTTTGAATTTAAAAGTGATACAAATTACTGTTTTTTTTTATTGGTTACTGCTACTTCAGTAAACTACAAATTTAAAATTTTTACCATCAGATCTTCTTCCTTTATCATACAAGGGTATATTTCTGGCATTTCTTGATGTGCATGAAGGTTATGGTTAAATAATCTTAAAGGTATATATATGTATGTTGGATGTTTATTTATCACTAGTCACTTATAGTTAACTTCCCAAATATAATGTGTGGCTTCATGTTATAATTTTATTGTAGCTTCTGAACTACATGAAAATATAAATTTCACATTTGAAAGAAAAGTGAATTACACAAATTAAATTTTACTACTACTGTTATGGGTTTGTGTTAAACGTCTGGGTATGGATTTGAAACAAGAATACAAAACAGAGAGCTTAACCTTGTAAAATATTTGTATGATCTATTAATTAGTTTTAAACAGGTGAATAATAATTTCATTGCTTATAATTTTCACAGTACCAAAGTATTGGTGGCTGGTCTAAACCTCAGCAATGATACTTGTAATTATTTTCTCCTTTTTGAACTGGATGGTCATAAAAAAAAGTTTAGTTTTGTTATCTTCTGTTCATAGAAGGGAAAGGAATTACTAAATTCCCTATGTCTTTTTCACCTTCTGTGGTCATAATTTTTCTCATGCCTCTCTCTAATGACAGATATTTTGTGGCCCTGTGATGCTTCATATAAATCTTTAATTGTTGAAGAAGCTTTTAATTAGAACCTTCTCAAATCCGAATTTTCTGTTTGATTGTGCTTTGGAAAGAGGTTGTATATTGGTTATCACTGATGGGCCTCATGGACCATGGTTCAAGGACTTGAATTAAGTAAGAGTTTCTTGATATTGAGATTTTGAAGCAATGTAGCATTTCTCAGATGAAACTTTACATGGATAAATAAGCATAACAAACATAAAATCCAAATTTATGAGAGAAGCCTTAAAATTGTATATATGTTTGAGATATATATAAGCTAATGGGAAACTAATGTGATATTTAAAAAGATTAAATTTCTTCATTTTTAGAATTAATTAAGTGGAGACTTTTGCTTTAGTTTTTAATTTTGCTTATGAATTAATTATTATGTAGCTGGTGTAATATGCTAATATTATGGTTGTAACCATTTCACAACTTGGAATTTGAACGTAGCTTTCTTTATTCAAGTGTATTCAGATAAGGTTATCAATTTCAGTACAGAATGTTTATACGTAAACATTCTATGCAAACAGGGTGATTCCAATACTGAGACCTTAAATAATTAATGACTTACTAGGTGAGTCATTAATCTTTTGTCTCAATGTTTGGCATGCTGGGAAAATTAAGAGATAGATACATGAGAAAGGTAATTTCCCTCTCTTTTGATGTGTGTGATGAAGCATTTTTGGAAGTATAACAGAGTTACAGTTTGGAGTATAGTCTCAAGCGAATCAAACACTTCAGATCAGTTTTTTGTTCAGTTCATGTTAAATCATTTTATTTAGTTGAGATTATTTTCATGCTTGTTTCTGGTCGGTCCAGAAATACCTATGTTTGTATAAAGTAAACTTTTTCCAATTTGGTGGCTACTATATTAAGTAGAAATTGGACCTAGGCTAATAAAACAAAGATTAACTACACTACTAAATTATTATTGTAAAGCTTAAACCAGAAACATTTTAACCTCTGTCTTTGAGTATATCACACAAAACAGTATCTCCATACAACCTATACTGCAAACTAACAGACAGCATACCAAAACACTAACCATGCAGTTACACACACATATACATGCAATTCTATATTAACTTTTTATTTGCTTTTCAGCTAGGGCACAGGAAATGTAGATCATTTGGCACCTGTCTTATGAAAGTGGGTTTTCTCAGGGTTCTCTTGTCCCCCCCTCCCCCTATGGCATTGGATTTATTGATTCCAGCCAAGGTATTGGATTTATAAATCCCGCCTTTCCTTGACCCTGTCAAAGGGTTGTTGGTTATTTTCTACAACCCTGACCTTTACCTCACTGCCTTTGTTTTATGCCAACTTGCCAATTTCACATTTAGTCTTTGTCCAAATTCTAGGTTTTTGTATCTTTGATCAAAATTTCAAATTGTTTTAAGTTTTAAGAAATCTATATTATATTAGAAACGTGTTCTTGAATAGTATAACAGCCAAAGTTCACTTTTGCTAATTATTATTGACATCCCCAAACACCCCAGTTGGGGAAAATTTGAGGAATTTTCCTTTCAAAAAACTAATTACCTGCCACATTAAAAAAACATCTAGGCAATTAATGGAATTTGCTAATGTTAATTATCAAGCTTATTAATTAATTACATTCATCTGATTGATTATTCTCCCATGAGACTTATTTTCAGCTTTTTTTCAAGACATTTTCAAGCTACTTTTCATTTAATATGACAGATATTTTCAAGTACAACAACTTATAATAAAGTTACTTTTTAAACCCTAAACTGATGTAGGTGAAAATGTATCACATACATAAAGTAGTACAAAACCTGTAACAAGCTAAAAATATATATATGATTAATTCTGTTTCATGGGTTTCTCCTTACATATTTTCAGGAGATTGCTAAAACTACTGAATTTTTGTTGATGAAATTAAACATTACAACACGACATTGATTAAAAGTAAGAAAAACAGTGAATAGTGAGATTACTATTAGATAAAGGTTCACATAAGTTGTATATGCTTACTTCTAGGGATTGAGTTAATGAATTTATATACACACACAAAACTGTACTGAAGCCATCAAGGGTGTGAATATTTTGGTTCATCTTACTATACAAAGAGACGATAAACTTAAGAGCATATGCCACTTCACATATTAAAGGTATAGGAGAATAAGATTATCATTGGTTTAAGATTAGTCATTATTTTGTATCAACAAGATATTGATTCAACACTTATTTTCATGAGCTGTTGAACTATTCCATTAAACTGAATGAAGTTGAGTTAATCAAAAATAATAATGAGAAATCATAATGCTAACATTTTGATTACTTGGTAGACGTTGATTTACACAGAATTCTGTATTGAATATGCACGAAATATTAATCAAATGCAAAAATATTAACAGCACTGCATTTTCAAACTGCAGCTGTAATAAGCCCTACTGGTTCAATTACCAGGTGTCTTTTGTTTAACACAACGGGAAAAACGTTCTACTGTTCCAAGCATCCTCTTAGAAAAAGCTATAAGAGTTTAGTAATAAGGAATGAGTTATTTCTTTGTTAGGCCATGTACCCTAGTTGATAATTTAAGTGTTTTCACCACAATAAAACTAATGTTTACTGATTAGACTGTTTTTATTACTTATTCCGTATTGGGTGCAAATTTTGTAAGGTAAAACTATTGTTGCGTCATCGAGATCACGTTACAATTCTCACGCCCTCTTGTTTC